GAAGGCAGCCAAAATGCTTTCATTGTCCGAAGTGCTTCCTCTTCATAAGACGTGACCTTAACACTGTTTGCCCCATGAAAACCATTCTTGTCTCGACAATGGTTTCTATCACTGTACTGGGGAAGAGCACCATGATTTTGCTGATCAAAGGCATCTAGCTCTCTTGCTTTCTGCAATGCTAGCTTCTCGTCTTCCTCTTCCTTCTCTTGCTTCTGTTGAGCAGAATGGGCAGCTAGCTTCCTGCCAAAGAGGGTAATAAGATGTTATAGATTTATAACTGATCATAGCATGAAAGGCAGACAAGTATGAGACAGTACTACAAACAGGAAAAAATGACTAACAGAATATTTTCATTTTATTGAGAAAAAGATATTGGGTGGAGGGATCTATTCTTCTGCTTACCATAACAAAGCATCATCAAAGCAAAGTTCCCAATTGTATTGGATAATCCTTGTTTTATATGTAGAACAGTTACTAAGCTGCAATAAGAGGTATTGCCATAAAGCAACTCTCTTCTTTGAGTATTTTCACAAAGCCATTAAGCCATTTACTCTCAATACAACTCAAATAATAAACTGACTTTTCCTGCATAACCAAGAAGTAAAGAGACGGCAACACTTCAAAATTTTAAAACCAAAACCATTATCCCAAGCTTTACATCCCAAACCTCTTATTTGTCTTCTGCAGTAAACTGTCATCTTTCTGCAATTTAGCAATATGCTGAACATATGTCGTTTCTGCAGTAGCATACATTCCAAAACAGAGCCATATAACTTCTATTAGTTGCTATATGCCCACCAGAATATACGGTAACAAGTTCCTCTAACGTACGACTTTTAAACCATAAGCATCTTCTTACAATAGCATTATGCGTATTTCCAGTCTGATCCATTAACCCGACGTCCTCCTGTTGCCACTTCCTAAATGTAACATGATCTGACACGGGGAAAAGAAACCTTAACATCCCGGGCATATTCTGAAAAACTTAGTAGTGGGCTTTTAAAAAAGCCTATGCTGCAACTATATAGGATTATAATGTTGTAACATGATCCTCGTGTTAACACACACTCTAGCTAAGGTCATCATCACCAAAGTACATACAAAGAAAGAAATAACCACAGCAGCTCAGGGGAGTGCCACAGTTGGCACAGGAACTTCCTTAACACGATCACCATCACCAAAACTTGCCAACAATCAAACCCAGTTTGCACAAATCACTTTCCTAGCATTCCCACATCGTCTATTTCACTCAAATGATTTAGTAAAACCATTAGCACCATCTAGTTATAATTCCAATCATTACAACTTAAATCACAAGATTTGAAAAGGTATACACAGATCTCAATCCTGAAATTGCATGAAAATTTACACCAAAAAACGCGGATTCTTTCATCAAGTAAAATAAAAATCACAGATTTACCTCTGTATGTCTTTTTTCTGGGCGAGGAGGCACTCGAGGATGCACTCTTTACAGAAGACATGACCCTTTTGGCAGCACAAGGGGTCGATGAAGGGCTTCAAACAGAGGCAGCAAACATCAAACGGCTTGATCGAATCTTTCCCCAATCTCTCCTTCTGGGTTCCATAACCTAGCTTTCTCTTCTCGTCGTAAGTGAAAAACGCTAAGTCGTTGTTGTTCTTCGAGTGTCTCTGTGGCATCTCTGCGTTATCGCTTTACGAAAAAGAGAAGATACTAAGCTGATTAACGTCTCGGATTGGTATCGGGTTTAGATTTGAGTGAAACCCTAAATTATATTGATCGTCTCTCCAGTATGTCGAATTTCATTGGGTTTTGTTTTCCGTTTAGGATCTGGAATTTGGGGATTAAGCACAGGGGGATATTTTGAGGTGCGTCACCGCCCAACATAGGTGCTTGGAAATTTCATCTTCACCGTTGTTGACTTATCATCGAACGGTCAGAGTTAGGGTATCTCCTTTTTTGTGATAATCTGAAAATTCAACGGTGGATGCAGATACATTACTAATTGGAATATCTAATATGTTCAGTCTCGAAAAATATATACATATTAGACGGGAAATTGAAAACATTTTTTTATTTTTTATTTTTTATTTTTTAAATATGAAAATAGCATATATAATAATTATCCTTAAAAATTTAAATGTAAAAATAAAATTAAAATTTCAGTAAACTTCACATAGAACAAATAAATTTTAAATATAAAAATAAAAATTAACATAATTAGTACATAAAATTTTAGTTGTTTACATAACTTAATTTTAATTTAATAAAATTTTATTATACTTTAGTAAAAAATTATTTATAAAAATTTAGTTAAAATAATTATATTTATTTATTTAAATTCTTAAAATATAAAAATATATTTTCATTTTTAGTTGATTGCAAATACATATACATAATAATTAGTTAGTTAAAATTTTAGTTTATTACAAAATTTTTATAAGTAATTATTTTATAAGTTTTTAATAATTTATTTATTTTTAACACGGTAATGCATATAATAGTTATTTATTTAATTTTTTAAATATAAAATAATATTTAAATATATTAAAATAAATGATATTTGTTTATTTATTTAATATAATAATATGTAATTAAAAATTATATAATGAATAATTTTAAATATAAAAATAAAATTAATATCATAATATTTTTTAATTAATTTTAATTAAACTATATATTTCAAAATTATACATTATCTAAATTTCTGACTACTTATTTTCTTCTAAACAGGTCATTCATTATATAGATTTCATTTAAAATATTAAGATACATTTAAATTTTTATTAGAAAGTTTTCATTTTTATATATAATTAAAAGTTAATGTAAAACCATATTTTATGTATAGCGCATAGTATAAATTTAATATTAAATTAATAAATATTTAGTATAGTATTATTTTATATAAAATTAATTATTAAGGAAAAGAGATTTAGATCGGTTTCAGGGGCCGTACCCAAATGAAACACAATCGGGTCGGGCTCATTTGCAGGGAGAGGAGTGAGGCTGTTCGGCGAGTCAATGGTAATATATATTCATCTTGTCGGTTTCTTAGGTTGAGAGGAGGAGTATGTCAATTCGTCGTTAACTACGAGGGTTTGAACGAGACGCTTCGAAGCCGCCAAATAGATTGAGAGAAGTCTACAAGCTGTGGTTTTTCACAGAAGCTTACCAGAGAGATGGAGGCTAGGAAATGTGTTGCAAAACAGCCTGAGAAAGACGACGACGACGACGAAGATGAAGGAAGCGTCATAAAAGATGCAGTGCCTCAGTCGAGTCAGTAATTAACCAAATTAATCTGTGATATTTAACATGTTTCTTGGGTGAGTCTCCTTTTAATCTTTTATCACTATGTCTTTGCATTGAGGAAAAAAAGAAAACAGTTCTGATATTTCAGTTCAATCATTGGTTGTTTAGGTCAAGCCATGAACTTGACTCGAAAAATGATGCGGGTGACTTTATTTAGAATCTGGGTCTATTTGGATTAATCGTGAATTTTGTTTAAATTATTTGGGTTTGTTAAATGTGATTGATTGGATTTTTGAACCTAGTTTCTTGTATTTACATCTAAATATATGTTCGACTCTATCAGGTCAAGAGCTCTTGGGCAGTGAGGGGAATACAGATGGATACTGGAACTAAATTCTCGTAAGTTTCATGGTAGTTCTCTGGTTATCATTTTCAGTTATATACCATAAGCAAACTAGTAAACCGATTTTAAAAACTAATTTATCGATATTGTGGTTATAATTGGTTTGTGTAGGAGAATCTATGGCAGATTGTGACATTTATTTATTGTAAGCGCAATAATGTTAGTTTTTACATTAACAGCTTTTTAGGTTTATATACTACTTGATGCAGTTCTTGGAATCTGGCCTGATTTGTTAACATTCGCTGTGATGACTGCATGGACATTTCCGCTGTTTAAAACTTGGGCTTTGGTTTAGTCACATTTTGCATTGACCTATATACATTGAGGGAATTCATTCATTTATGAACAAATAGATTAATTTAAAAGTGCTATACCTTAACCATGACCATGCACCGTTGATCTAACTCCGCACTGGTGGGATGTGAAGTCTTCAGTTATGAATGGTTCATCAAATTTCTCGCATCCATTACTCTTCAAAATCTCAAAGAGTTATGTCTTATGCATATCATTTTGACTAATACTGATTGGACAAGAATTTGGTTGATCCTGTCCGGTGCTGAAAAATATGCATGTATGGTAATCTGATCTTTCCCCAGCTAAGTTTCTAAATATTTCTATCCTCAAAATGAAATTTCATCCTATCATTATCATTGGCTAAATGATTGAGACCAAACTTCATCCAGCAAGTCAACCAATTATGTTTCTTGGGAAAATTTGACAGTACTATAAGTTTAGGAACTTGTCCTCTATATATCATGCAGTTGTAAAGTTGGAGAAGGTATACTCAGTCTGTAGCTTAGGGAATCTCTGATCTCATCCAACTATCCATAAATGAATCTCTGCCCATCAATATAAATCTCTATTTTCCTTGTCATTTGCAGTACAGGATAATGTATCATCATGTTATGCTATGGCACTGCAGTTTCTTTTCTCTCAACCAACAATCATTAGATATATGTAAACTGAATGACATTTTACACCATAACAGATGCCTCCACCTGTCTGTTTGGTCAGTGGTCAACCAAGAAATGCACTCACACGTTTATAGTCCCAAAGTGCCAAAATGCATTGAATACTTTTTCATGCTTCTAACTTCCAGAACCCAAATTTACTCATGCTTGATGCACATCGACCTGCTATATTGTTTGTTGGGCCACCATGTTATTACTGAATACAAATGCTAGCTGATTTCTTAAGATTGTATAAAAATGTTTCAGCACAATTTGGAAGACATCAAGCTTGCTGGGATCCAGAATTATAAGGAATATTTTTTATAAAAGGAAGTATTTGTTTTACAGGAAGCGAAGTTGGCTTGGTGAATTTGTTCCTTGAGGACCTTCTGTTCTCCAATAGATTGTGAGCAATCTAGCCTAGAGAAGCATGTTCAAACTGATGATGGAGAGACAACCAAAATAAATGCTAAATTCGTATTTCTAAAATAACAAAGTGCTTCAAAAAAGCAGAAATGGCTCTCTCATAATTTCAGTTATGTCATAAAGGAGGTAAGTTTTTATATCCATTCTGTCCTTGAAATTAAGATCTTTATTTTTTTGCGTTGCATTGTCATCTTTGTGGTGCTTTATTTCTCTACCTTATAATATAACTAAGTTTGCCAAGGGGAAAGTTATAGAAGGAAGAGTGATAAATAATACTAATGGCAAAAACTGACCGTAATCTTATTATTCCTCGTGTTAAAAATCTTTCTCCGTCTGCCATCTTTTTCCTTGTTATAACATTAATTTTGTTCAGAAGAAAATAGGTGCATACAAATGAAGAGGCATTGAGTTTGTGAAACTCATTTACAAAAGGAAAAGTTACAAAGTAGTTAAACTATCAATAAGATCCCCAAAATTTTCTACTAATGGATGATCCTTAAACGGAAAAAAGAAGGTTTCTTCTCTTAACTTTTCAAAAGAATTACACATCCTCAAATGGCCTCTTATTTTTCTCCCTCCAAATAATCCAAATGGGAACCAGTGGAATGAGAGAGAGAAGCTTTTACTACTCTTATCACCTTGATTGTCATGCCAAGCCCAAAGCTCATCCTCTAGACTACTAGCCATGACTCGTTGCACCACCTCAAATTCAGTAACCGAACGCCATAAATGCTAGCAAAAATAACACCACAAAAGAATATGCTCTGTGGTTTCAAATTCTCTAGTCCCTGCTTCCTATGCAAAAAAGGTGGGGGGGGGGG